GTCGCCGGCAGATCTGAAAGCCGAGCCCGTACACGTAGCTCCGGTTGTCGCTGGCAAAGAGGAGAAGGAACCGCCTTCGTCGGATCATCGAGAACCGTTCGTCGAAGAGGCGAAAGGTGCGGTGACCGAGACTACCCCGAAATTGGACGAGAAGGACGAGAAGGATGATTCCGGGAAGAAAGACAGCGAAGATGCGACCAAAGAACCGTCCAGCTTGAGCCCGGACAAGTTGGATTCCTCCGAGAAGAAGACCACAGACACGGACATGAAGCCGGAAGTTGATCAGAGGGAGCAAGTCCCATCTCAGAAGCTCGAGGAATCCCAGGAGCGCATCTCTACTTTGGAGTCCGGCGCGACGACCACGGCGCCGACTCTTCCTGAGGACGAACGCATACCGATGGACGAAATCAAGGAGGACATCGACGAGAAACACATCGTCGAGGACGTCAAGGAGAAAGACGCTCCTCCGATGAAGGCCAAGCAAGACGCTCCCGCCACTGGTCCCATGACCGCGATCGGAACCGGAGCGGCAACCGCTGTCGCCGGCATGACCGCGACCACGACCGTCGACACCGGCGCTGTTGTTACCGGCAGCGCCGGCAGGTTGGCGCGAACCGTACCAACCACGGGAATCAAACCCGACGTTCAAGTGTTCGACGTCCGTCAAACCGGGCCATGCTTGCAGCGCGACATTGTCAAAACACCGGACGAGGTCGCCGATTTGCCGGTTCACGAAGAAGTCGACCCGAAATTCTACAGAATGGAGGACTTTGAGAAAGAAAAGGAAGAGAAGGCTGTGCCGTTGCCGCAAGAGATCAAAGAACCACCGACTCCACCGGTTAAGGAACAAAAAGGCGTTTTCAGCTTTTTCGGTAAGGTCGCCGATAAGTTTGAGAAGGGTATCGACAAGTTGACCAAAAAGTCGAAAAGAGACCAAGAGAAGGACACCGAGGACAAATCCTCGTCGAAGTCCAGCTCACCGAAGGAGGCTAAGGGACAAGAGAAGACGCTTCTCGAAGACGTTGACATGGAGAAAATGTTCCCGAAAGTGACCGGTAGGCCGACCGAGAAGGTAGCGACTCGCGACGAAGCGGCAGTGACCGATAAGAGAATAACGGTACCCGAGGAAAAGGAGCCTGTCGATTCCCTTGTCGCGCGAGACGAGGCGAAACCTGCGATCGTCGGACCGTCGGATGCCGAGCGGATCACGGACGCAGCCAAGGACGTACCTTTACCACAGGCCGAACCCGCCGGTGTACCGACAGCGCCGCCGGACAAGTCGAAACTAGAGAAAGACAAAACGCCGAAAGAGGAGACCGTCCAGGGTGAGAAGGTACAAATAACCGTTTGCGAAGCGTCGAAGAAACCCTCGAGGAAGACGAAAGATGCTTCGAGAGATTCGTTCGAGTCGCTGGAAGACGAGATCGTCGGTTTGCCACGCGAAACTCTACCGATAAAGGACGCCGTTAAAGACACGTTGGAGGGTGTTGTCGAGAAACTGGAGGAAATGCAGCCGCAAATCGAGACCGCGTCACCCGACGCGCTGACCAAGCCATCGGATAAAGTGCAATTCGATATCGGCAAGGACGAAGAAGGATTGGACGCGGAGCACGGCGAAGAAGCGGTGGCCGGAGCTGTGAGGGACCTTAAAGAAGCCGTGCGCGACGTCGGTGAAGTTCTCGCGGGAACGGTCGGTATCGACATCGACGATAAACCGAAGGATGTCACGGAGATCGTGAGGAAAGTTGCCGAGGTCCTAAGGGAGGATGACTTTCTTTCGGACAAGGCGTTGTTTGGAACAGAAACGATCAAAGAGGGAAAACCATTGTCGCCGACCGCGGCTGAAACGAAACAGGAAGCGAAGGCATTCGTGTCGGAAAGTGTGCCGAGTAAACGGGCCGACGACCGCGACCAATTGCCGGACACCAAACCCGCCGTTATGCCGACGAAAGTGGGTATCACCGAAGAGTTCTCGCCGCACGAGGAAGTCGCGGAGCTGATCGCAGAAACAACGACAGCGCCCATTGTTTCGCCTTACAAATCGGTCGATACGATTCAAGCGGCCGATGAGTCTCGCGCGAAAACAGTAACGGAAACCGAAGCGGTTACATCTCCGAAAGACGAAGCGAAAGACGAGGAGAAAGACAAAGTCACAGACGATGCGAAGCGTCGACAAGATGCCAAAGAAATCTGTGCAGAATTGTTGAAGGAAGATTCGGTCTCCAGAGACGAGGTAGAAACCGACGTCCATGCGCGACCAGCGGATTCTTCCGTGGTCGACGTGATGGAGGCCGGTTTGGAAACCGTATGCGTCAAGGGAGCAGTTGAAGCGTCCTTCGACGAAAAACACCGAGAAGCGATAGAAGAGTCCGTGATCGGTTTCGATCAAAAGATTTCCCCAGCGAAGGCGGAAATTGTCACGATCTCGCCTGGTTCGACGCCCACATCGCCAAAATTTGTCACCGAAAAGATATGCGACACTAAAACGGAGAAAAGGGAATTGGACGTCGCCGATAACATTCCCGCCGATATAAAGGCTATCGTCGACGATACCAGTCGCTTGGTGCAACAAATAATCGAGGAGCTTGTAATCAGAAAAAAGAGAATAACGATCGAAATTATAGAATATATCATGGTGGTGAAACGTGTTCCCAGGGAACGTGTGATATACATTATCGAAGAGATAATTGTGAGCAAAGGATATTCGCGAGCAGACGTTGTCGACGACGAACAAGTTTTAAAACTCGACGAATCGATCACACCAGAGTTGAAAAAGGAGCTCGAGGAATATATTATCAACGAATACGTGGTGAAGGGAAAAGTGATTACTATCATAATAATTGAGGAAATCTCGGTGAAATTGATGATCCCGAGAACGATCGTTATTCGAATTATTCGAGAACTTGTAACCAGAAAGGACATTACTGTACGAATCGATCCTTCGTTCGAGTCACAACTAGACGAAATTGAGCATCGGGAACGCCGAGAAGAAGTCTCATCTGTTCCGGAGGTAGATAGGAAACCATCTGTTCCGGAAGTAGATAGAAAACCATCTGTAGAAAAGGAGAAGGAGAAGGAGAAGGAAGAGGAAAAGGAGGAGGAGGAGGAGAAAGAAGAGAAACGGGTAAAAGAAGAAGAGGGAGAGGAGGAAAGGAAAGACATGAAAGCGGAGAAGGAAAGCGAGAAACAGGAGGAAAGGGAGAAGCAAAAAGCGGAGCAAGTTGAAGAGGAAATGGAAGAAGCGGAGGAAGACGGTTTTGTTACCATTGGCAGAAAAGTTTCAAAAGAAAGAATCGATACTGATGTAAAGACGGAGTCTTCTGTTCAAGCGATGGAAAAGAAACGATCCATCGATGAAATACACGAGAAAGACATTATCGATGACTTCGAAGCTGTCGAACAAGAGTATAAAGTGCACGACGTTCGAGTTACCTCTCCTGGAGAGGTGGTCTCCAGCGTTTCAACCAAGCCAATTGAAACCGAGGAAAAAGAGTATGCGGAGGAGGCAGTCGAAGACACTGCGAGCGACGTTGTTGAAGCGGACGAAAAGTTTGTTCACGAAACCAAAGAGAAGGTAGAGGAAAAGGAATCTCGCATGGATGATGGAGAAATCATTGCATTGGACACGGAGAAATTAGAAAGGAAGCCATCGAAAGATCTCGCTACTTCGATAGACGCAACGGAAGTGTCGGAAACGTTCGACGCCGTTGAAAAGTACTTGGACGAAGCAAAAGAGAAAACAGACGCGAAACCGATCATCGACAAGCTTGCCGAATCCGCAGACACATTGGCAAAAACGATCGAGCAATCTGCTGTTGGGGAAAAGCCAACCGAACGCGCCGAAAAAGTGTTGCAGAAACCAGCGGAGGAAGCCGCACCTGCTCTCGAAGACGAGAAAGTCGCGGATCGACTTGACGCAAAGAGCACCGAGAGCGCGGTCACCGTCTCTCCAGAGAAATCCGAACAAGAGGGAATCGACGAGGACAAATCGAGAGATGCGACGCTGAAGGCTGTGGAACCAGCCGCGAAATTAGCGGATGCTACGGGGAGAGCGGCCGAGCCGAAAATTCAGTTGATTCAAATGGAAGGGGTGGAACGTTCGAAGCCGGAAGAGTCGACAGAACGGAAAGAGGGTAAGAGTCCCGATCGCGATTCGATATCCGACGTAAAAGTCGACAGGCGGGATTCGAAGGAAGTCGGAGCTGAACCCGAACGAGAGGAGGCAGAAGAACCTTTCGTTGACAAGAAACACGCCATCGAAGAGAAGGGGGGACAGAAGCTCGTCGATGAAGATACAGGTTCCGTTCGGCGAATGTTAGTTACTGCGAGCAGCGAAGACGGTGGGCACGAAACCGAGATTTGTCCCACTGGTACCATCATCTTCACGAAAACAGTCACGCCGGACGATTCTCTGAAAGATGTGTCCGTAAAATCAACGCCCGACAAAGATTCGTTGCTTCTGGATAAAGATTCGCTTCGTTCCGGCACTAGCAGTCCGGAGAAGGATAGTATCTCTGAGAGGTCGGTCCCAGAAGCCAAGGACGTCGGAAAGATCACGCCCGAAGACAGCTTGGATAAATCGCCACTCGACACGCGAGGCTCGCAAGATCTCGAAGACAGTTTGGAGAAGGTTGGAGTTGGCAAGCCAACGGAAATCAGCAGCGTTTCTCCTTCCATTGAGTCGAAAACACCGAAATCTATGCCGACGAGCGAACAAGATTCTCCGAAAGTGAAGTCACCGGACCAAGTGTCGGTTACCGATGCAGAAATTACCGGATCCGTGGCAGAGGTAGGAGTATCGAAGACACCCGAGTCGATTCATTCGGAGGCTGTTTCACCCGCGGAAACTATTTTCGCAAAGTCGCCCACGGAAAAACAGAAGATCGGTGAAATCGTGCCGAAAATGGATGACGTCCTGCCCACGGAAGCAGCAGCGTCGCTTGCGAAAATGATTTGTCCCGAGAAACCGACGGATATCACGGGAATTACTACTACCACTACTTCAGCTACCACCGATGCCACTGTCACAACTGTGACGACGATGACAACACCGACGAGCGTTAAGCAGGACGAGAGAGAAGTCGATCGCGTTGAGAAGGATATATCACCAATTGCAACCGCTCGAGACCTCGAAGAAAAGAAATTGAGCCCAGCAGCTGAATCAGTCGGTATTCCTGCGGAACAAATTGCTTCGAAGGACAGTGCGTCTCCGACGATCGATGATGTCAAGACTGTTCCAGACAAAGTCACCGCGAAGACTGAGCAATTAGAGATCTTCGACTTGGTAAAAGTTGAAGCGAAACAAACTACAGACATCAAAGATCGCGCAATCGACGATAGGAGCCCTGTTGGCGACGCGAAAGAGGCGGAGGATCGATTGAAAACCTCGAGTGTAACCATCGATAAGCCGGACTTGGAAGGTGAACCCGACAAATCGGTTGAAAAGTCCAGATCGCCTAGTGTCGCGAGCGCGCTCGGTGAGCCGAAGGGACCGGTCGATCGCTCGAAATCTCCAAGTATCGCGAGCGAGAAGTCCGATGAGAAGGATATCGACGAAAGAATTACCGTTGAGGAAACATCGGGTCCCATAGTCGACAAAGTCGGTACGGAACACGTCGACGAGCATAGCGTCGCAGGTGAAATTGCTAGCCTGGAAGATGCGGCTGAAAAGCCAGTTGAGAAATCTAGAACGCCTCCTCCTACTCCTGAAAAACCCGACACACTAGACACGCTGGTAAAACCACTTGACAAGTCTAGTGCGCAGAGCCCATCTGCCGACTTTAAAGAAACAATAGAACGCTCGAGATCGCCAAGCGTTACAAGCGAGAAACCGATAGTTGGCCCGGACGGCGAGCATGACAAAGCACTTTTAAAATCTAGATCGCCGAGCTTATCCGTCGTTTCTGGTGAATCCAGCGAGATTGTAGAGCCCGCCAAATCAGCAAGCGTTTCCAGCGAGAAAGAAGGGCCAGAATTGAAAGATATCGATGAAACGGCAGTGGATCGATCCAGACCGGCCAGTATTTCCATTGAAAAGCCCGAAGCAACTGATGAAAGGAAAACACCACCGCAGGATAAACTTGCGTCGCCAACCGCAACAACGTTGAGTGCTGATTCCAAAGATGTCGACAAACAAATATCCGGAGAGACTAAACCGATCAGTGTACCAAGTCTGCCCGTTGAATCAAAGGAAGAACCGCGCGATGAGTCAAAATCGCCGAGTGTTCTCAGAGACATGCCTGAATTGAAAGATCACGATGAGTCTGCGATCGAAAAATCGAAATCCATCAGCACGACTCCCGAGAAACCTGACGTAATCGACGTCGATCAGAAAGACGTAAGGAAATCATTGTCACCGAGCTTAACGAGCCCAATTCGCGATTCGAAAGAAACAACAGACGAACCTCGGTCACCCGGGGCTGTCAGTGATAAAGTCGATACAGAAGCAAGCGAGGAAAAACCATTGGCAAAGTCTAGATCGGCCAGCGTAGCAACCGTCTCCGATGAACCACTTTCAAAGGAGCCGGCCGATCGGTCCAAGTCGCCAAGCATCGCCAGCGAGAAACCCGAATTGGAGGATGTCCGTGAAACCGTAACAGAAAAATCCAGATCTCCCAGTATAACTGCCGATAAAGCTGATTCGATAGCTGTCGACGACAAAGTCATAGAGAAATCTAGATCACCAAGTGTCTCGAGTGAACCTAAAGAACTCCTCGATCATTCAAAATCCCCCAGCATCTCCAGCGAGAAACTAGAATCGAAGGACCTACGTGAAACTGTGACAGAGAAATCCAGATCTCCCAGTGTAACCCCAGATAAGCCTGGCGCAGCAGACGTTGCTGAGAAAACTCCAGAAAAGTCTAGATCGCCCAGTGTTTCAGCCGATGCGAAGGAACCCATTGACCATTCCAAATCACCTAGCATCG